AAAAAGAAGGACAACGTCTCACCTTCCTGGTTTAGCTTCTGGGTCTCCTCGGAGCCGGACTGTCCGTGTTTCTGCTGTTGCCTCGCCGTGCTAATGGCCTGAAGTGCGTCCAGCCGCTGCTTCTCACTGAAGACTGCAGAGCCCGCCACCAGCTCTTCAGCCTCCGACAAGCAGCCCAGAGGAAGCAGCACCCGCTGCAGGTGAAGTTCTGCTAAGGCTCTGTACTCTGGAAGGCCCTGGTTGTCAGCATCTTGGAGCCAAGCACAGACCGTATCCAGCACAGCTCCAGGCTCTCGCATCTTGCTGTATAAAAGAACACTGCAGCCCCAAATAATCCAACCCCGAAAAAAGAGCAGTCAGTTCTTCGCAGTTTGTTAATTTCTCATAATCACCACACTCCTCCTACCCAGCCCGGCCCCCGGCCCTCCAGCCCTTCCCTACAGGATGCTGACACGCTAAGAACCAGGAGTTCTTAGGAGAAGCAAGAAGCTCTCTCAGCTCTGACACACCCCACTTCTGTCACCCCACTGCTCGTCTCCTATTCCTTCCTCTTTTCCCTTCCCCCTTCCTAAATTCCTCCTTCCACATCTTTTATCGTTATGTTTTGAAGTCGGGGGCGGCGGGACAGGGAAAGAATCAGATCTGAAGGGAAATGGTATGGAAAGGAAAAGAGGAGATATCAGGGCTGCATCGGCAGAGGACAGGAAAAGCCTCTTGCTCCTGCACTGACCCGTGGGGAAGCAGTAAGGACCTAAGGACCTACCACAGCTCCAAGACTTTGGGGGGCAGCTTCTCAGGAACCTGGTAACACCGAAGAACCCAGGACAGCACTTCCTGCCACCGATCCATCTCTGCCAGCGCCTGGATCCCCACAACACACAGAGAGCATTTCACCTCCAAGCAGCTGTCCGCAGAAAAGCCAATTCAAGTCCAGAAGTGGTTCCCCTGCATTGCCATTCCCACCTCCACCCTGAGACTGTTCTTCGCCAGCTCCCAGCTCAGCAGCCATCACCTCTCTCCTCGCCACTGACATTCCAGTGGGCCTCACAATTACCGTCACTCTCATGGGCCCCAACACAAGAGAAAACTGCCCTCTTCCCAGGAGCTAAAAGTTCCTGTAAACCTAGAGGCAAACCTAGAGGCTGCTGCCCAACACACATCCCTGTATCCAGGTAAATTCAGGGTTAGCAAACAGGAAGGGTTCATTTACTCCCGAGGGGAAAAAGTCAAAGGGCAGCACAAATGCGTGGGTGGAAAGAGAGCTGGAGCTAAGAGTTTGCTTAGTGAAGAAAGGCGCAGGAGCAAGGTCTCCGCCTGAGGGCAGCACCCAGAATCACAGCCTTCAGCATTTACTGCAACAAGCCTTCACCGACCCCTCAACACACAGCCAGGGCTCCCCAGTTCATCCATCCTTCTCTGGGGACTCTACCCCCTCCCTACTGCGGCCTAATCCAACTCTACAACCCACAGAGAAATGATGCCCTCAGCTACAGGAGAGGCTAGCAGCATCAGAAAGAGCAAGGCAGCACCAAAATTTCGATTCTTTGATACGATCCTTCAACAGGACCAGAACACACCCATTTATCAGCCAAGGTGAGAGCGCTCGGGGGAGGGGTGCGCCTAGGAGAGGACTTCGCCACCTGCTTACTGAAGTGATTTAACAACTCAATTCTATCTTCCCGTCAGGCATTCTACCCTGGAACAGGGAGAAAGAACTGGCTGTGGGTCCCCCTAAGCCCGTTACACTACTCAACCGCTTCCTCCTCACTGGGCAGCGCCTCGCTCTCTCCTCGGAGAACCCGCACAAGGTGAGCCGCTGCCTCCGGAGAGTCACCGCGAGAAAAGAAGGCATAAGGCTGGCGTGAGCAACCGGATGGCAGAAGCGCTGGGGTCTGGCGCCCCTCCCACCGCCCCCGGAGGCGAACCGAGCCCAGCACTTACGCGCCCGCCGGCTCCTCCGCCAGGCCCTGCCAGGCGCGTTCGCAGGTACGCAGCGCCGCGCGGAAGTCCAGGTGCACCACCAGCAGGTCGGCCGCCTCCTCCAGCAGAAGCGCGGCCGCCGACGGCGCCGGAGCGGCGCGCACAGGCTCGCTGCTCCGCAGGAGCCCCCCGAGCCCCCTCAGGGGAACTGCGGAAGTCGCTGGGTCACTCCTCATAGGCCGGCGCCAGGCCGCCGCCCTCTGCGGGCTGCGGGGTACCCGGTGCGGCCTGGGGAGGAGGGCGAGTACTCACAGCCTGGCCCACAAGCCTCCCCGAGGCCGCACCCCGAGAAGGAAACCGGGGAGCGGCTGGGCTCTCCTGCGGTTCCGGCGCGGGACAGCCTCGCGCCCTCGGATTTGCAGAGCAAGGCGTCCTTGGACACCCGGCCCCACGACAAGGACTGGGACCCTCGGCCCGGGGAGGGCCGCTCCCTGGCCTCTCTAGCTGCAGAGCCGCCAGCACTGGTGCGGGAACGCGGCCAGCGACATCGCTGCGCGCGCAGCCCCCGCCGACGCTCGGGGCTCGGCGGCGCGACGGCACTCTGGGAGTTGTAGTCCGGCTCCTGAAGCGGCCGCCCTCCCGGCGCAGCTGGGAACTGCGGACTACAAGCCCCGGCATGCCGCGTCCCGGAAGTCGTGGCAGCTGGAGGAAGCCCGGCGACGGAAGCCGCGGGCTGTTGGAGTTGAGACCCAACGGGGTGCGGGCGTAGGCGTGGTTCTCCGGCACCTGCTGTGGGGACGCAGCTCGGGCAGCGGGCGGGAGAGGGCGTCTGTGTGCCGTCTTCCGCCGGGCTCCGCCCGGCTCCCGGTCAGTCCACACTGAGACTCCATACCTCAGGCCAAGTAGAGAGCTCGTGGAAAACAGCCGTACAGTGTGTAATGCAGTTTGCAGTAAAGCACTGGGACAGAGTAAGTATTCCATACGTTACGGCTGCGATAGTAATTATTAAGTGGTTGTACACAGACACATAAGTGACATTTATTATTATATTCTGTGCTTCACTCAGGCTTTTGGGGGCCTCCCAGGTTTGTGTTACACCAGTTCGGTTCCTCCCAGTTCCTACCTTTGAAGTCTCTCGAAGCGGGTCCGCTTGTGATTAGATGAGACGGACCAGGCTAGGCGCAGGGTCAGGACCTGCCCGCGTCGGCCTCCCCTTCCCTGGTCAGCAGCCTGGGCCCTCAGCTCTCTGCAGAAAGTCCTCCCGGAAAGCTGAGGCAGAAGCATTAAATGCATCAGACTCTGCGGTTGAGAAGTGTGGAGCCATAACCGTATAAGGTGATAAAGCCAGGACTCGCTTATTCCACAGATACCTAACCTCCTAAGTGCCAGGCCTCGTTCTAAACACTGAGGGTCCCACTGAACAAAGGCAAAAATAGCAGCCTCTGTGGAGTTTCCATATAGTGAAAGGAAACAAAATTGAACATGAACAAGTGAAGTACATACAGTCGTATGTCAGGTGGTGATAAATGCTAAGGAGAGATAAACCAAATACAGAAGAGAGCTTGGGAGTGACAACAGGGACGACAGCTAACTTTGTTTTCTAACAGTAAAGCCAAGGCTGGAGCATAGCAGAGAGAAAATGTGGCCCTTGAGCTCAGGACTGGCCTCCGTTGGTGGGGTCACTGCCCTTGGGACCAGTATATACTCAGTGTGCATCTTAAATCCCTCTTCAACTCCAGGCAGTATTCATTCCCACACAGCAAACTCCAGAGGCAAGCAGGCCAGAGGAAAGTGTGGATCAGTTCAAGGCTGAAGTTACCAAAATGTTTTATCAGTTCTGCCTCAAGTCTGACAGCAGCTAATGAAGATCATTAGAAATGACATAATTATTGGACTGCAACAAACAAAAAACCTGTTTCTCAGAGCTGGTTTTAGAAATCTTCCCTGAAAAATCGGGTAAGCAGTAGTAGCATCAGAACATGGATGTACCAGGCCTGGGCGAGCTGAGACTGGTACAGCCACACCTCAGCCTCCGGAAGTGCCACCTCCAAGCTTTTGCTGCCTGAAAAAGGCCCCTTCCTTCATCCCTAAGGAGAAGGTTCTTGCAATGTCCAGGCCTTTCCAGGAGATGGCAGCACAGCCCTAAAAGAAGCCAACTTGCCAGCAGATGTAGTGCTGTGGCTGCCGGAATGAGGTCAGGATATTTAAGGAAGTGGGAGGTTGCAAAAAGTCATATAAAAATAGGATTGTGTTCTATTTCTGTGCTTCACCCAATCTTTGACTATGCAGGACTACATAGTGATCTGGCTGTCACCACACAACTTCAGCACTGCTGTACCCGCCGACTGATTCCTGAACACCAGCACTGTGACACTCCCCACCCCCCACCCGCTTCTGAACGTACCCAGAACTTCTCAGCCTAAGACGCGGCAGCCCTAATGTACTCCACCTGAGGGAGAGTGAACAGGGGCTCATGACTCAAGCTTTGAAACCACCTAGCCTCCCCCGGGATAAAATGAGTGGAAACAAGCCAGTTCTCTCAGACCTGTAAGACCTGACCCATCTCAATATTTGTTTTGCTGGAATGCTTTCATTTTGGGAAAACTAGTAAATGAGACTCAAAACCCACTTGATAGCCATCCCCCAGCCCACCCAAGCTCTGGGACCTGCCACTCTCCCTTCTGTTCGTCGGGTGCTCAGTGTATCTTGCCTGAGAAGTGTCCTGAAGGTGTGGATTTGCTCGGCTGCTTTGAGCAAGCGATGAGTCCGTGTTTCCATAGCGAAAAGGGCTCTGGTCTGGGAGATGAGCTACACCATTTGGAATCCCGAGGGCCTCTGAAAAGTCAGGCCAGTCCTCTGAGCCTCGGTTTTCTCATCTGAGGACATTGACACCAACACCTACCATGTGGGTGGTTGTAAAGGTCAGAAGAGGTCATGTGACAATGCCTAGAATGCCTTTTTAAAAACATTTATTGATTTGTTTGACTCTGCTGGATCTTCATTGCTGCACGCGGGAATCTTTAGTTGTGGCATGCAAACTCTTAGTTGTGGCATATGGGATCTAGTTCCCTGACCAGGGATAGAACCCGGGCCCCCTGCATTGGGAGCGCAGAGTCTTAGCCACTGGACCACCAGGGAAGTCCCTAGAATGCTTTAAATCACTGGAATAGTTCAGGCTGATAATAAGATGAGATGATACACTGGGGGTGGGTAAGGAGAAGAAAGAATCCAATTCTACCTCAAAGTCCTGTAATCTTACTTTCTGACCCAGAATCAGACTCTTGACCTTACAAAGGTCAGATGCCCACATCTAGAGTCTGCCCTTTCCAAGCTGGCCATGCATTTCGTGATGATAGGCAGCATCCATAGCTGCCCCTCTGGGCACGCTCGTCCAGCCAGAGCCCCTCTGTACAGGGACACCAGTGGTAAAGCCCTGCAGGCAGTAGGATCATGCCTGGTGTGGACTTTGGCTAGAAGCAAGCCAAAGACATAAATATTGGCAGGGTGGAGATGATGCTTTTCCAGGCTGGTCACGGGCCCCAGACCTTCGTCAGTTAGATGGCATTTTTATGGTTCATTTTAGAGCCTGGACTTGGAGTTCAGGGCAGAACTCTGCTTCCCGTCTCCTCCTCTCCAGGTACACACACAGTGCTTACTTTGCTTCTGTGTCTAAGGAGTGTCGTCATCCCCACCCCGTGCAGTACTTTACAGCGTAGGAACGCCGGCTCAGTTTGGTGCTCCAGCATCAACCATGTGCTGGGCGCTGTTCTGAGTGCTTTACATCCACCTCATCTTAATCACCAGCAGCCCTGCGACAACAGCCCTGCTGTGGCCCCCAAGTTGTGGGTGTAGAAGCCAAGGCAACGGGGCAGTCACACAGGAATGCAGAGGGGGGCTGGGACTTCAGTAAGGCAGTTTGGCTCGAGTGTTTTTTCTCAGCTGATAACGTAATTCTGGCTGTACAAGGTGCTCTCACCCTGTTTGAGCTGGACAGCAAACCTGTGAGCAAGGCAATACAGGTATATTATTCTTATTCCTATCACTAGATGGGAAATTAAAGCTCAGAAACTGTCTGAGTTCAGAACTCATGGTTTCAGTGGCAAAGCTGGAACAACTACTGGAGACTTCTCTCACCAGAGCCCACGGCAGGGCATTCTTCAGAGGGCTGGCAATAGCTCCTCCCTATCTGCCCTCAGCGCGACCGGGAGCCCCCTGCGCAGACCTGCCCTCTAATTTCCACATGTTCTCACCCACCCCGGGAGCCAGAGGGTTCGCCTGAGCAAATCTTCACGATGCCAGACCAGGCCTGATGTGAAACAAGTAATGGATGCTCACTGGGGACTAGTCAGCCCTGCTCTGTCGTGGAAGGTGGAAGGATGCTGGGCCCTCCTGAGTCTTCCCTGGTCCCACTCAACTCAAGCTAATCACTCCTCCCTTCAAACTCCCCACTGTGCTTTGCATTTTCTTATAGTTATTTGTGCCATTCCCTTACTCAGCGGTGCCATTCCTGAGGACTCCTGAGTGCCATTCCTTATCTCAGGGGGCATCTGGCATGGTGCAAAGCGGTAGGCATGCGCTGCTCCAAGGGACCCTGCCTCCCCTGAGCTGTTCTGCATCATTTGATCTAGACTTGCAGGTACCCTCGCTGGTGAGCACTGTGAGAAAGGCTGGAAGCTGAGGAGATACATGCCCTAATGCAGCCCGCCAAAAAGGAGGGACACGTGGCGGTGTTTCCGGATGCAGGTACCCCGGCCTGCCTACTTGCCTGTGAGTGATTTGCAATGTTCCTTCTAGTGCTTTCTTCCTTGTTTCCTAGGAAATAATCGAATAAACTTAGTCACCCTGAGTGATAGAATATCAGGGTTGGAAGGAGCCTTATTCTACAGCCAAACTGAGGCCAGGAAGGGGAAGCGACAGCTGCTGTCACCCACGGAAGGATGCAGCACCCCTGCCCCCGACATGCTGCCCCAGAGAGGACCTCGCCTTGGCTTGAAGTGTCTCCTCACCAGCCCAGAGATCCCCGTGCTTTGGGGTGGGTCTCAGCATCCAAGGCCACTGTTCATGCCCAGATCCTGCTGGGAAGAGCACTCCCCACCCCAGGACTCCCTCCCTGTATCCCCCCCACCCAGAGCAGCTCTGGTCCCCAAAACCTGTGGCTTCCCCCAGCGGGCCCTCGGGAGGGGCTCTCAACATAGTTTTAATATTTCAGTTGAATGGTTACCTGAAATGATGCTACGATTGTTACTGATCAATAGATTTTATTTACTAGAGAAACACTCCAAAAGAGGGTTGATGGAGGGGCAATTAAAAGTGGTCATTTGTATTTAAAAGCCTGGGAACCACTGACAGAATCTTTATGTCCCAAATTATTTCCTGAAGTTATTTCCCCAAATGGAATTTTGGGTCAGCAAGCCCTGATGAAGGCATATGGGCAGTGGGGAAGGAGGAGAAATGTTGGGAGGATTTCCAGAAATCTTCATTTCACACCTGACCCAGGTGAGGGCAGTGGAAAGAGAGGGGTGGTGAGAACCTCAAAGAAGCAGAAGGGCGGCGCTCCCAACCCTGGAGGCTTCAGTCAGCCTGAAAATTGGGTTTCTTACTCAGCTGACTACAGCAAGGAAAACACACATGTGCCCAACACTATCCCATGGGTCCAGGGCCTAAAAGAAATAAAGTAATAACTATAAAATAAACAAAAGGAATTGCAGTTCACCTTTGCATTTGTCTTAATGATTTTTCTCAGACTGTAACCTCAAGGGCGTCTCGGTATTCTCACCCCGAGCCTAGTGCCCTGCTCCACAGGTAAGCTGACCCCACCCAGCATCTGGTTCCAGGGCAGGTTCAGAATGACACCAGGTGGAATGCTTGAAAGCTGGTAAAGTGAGGAAAACGGGCGTCTGAACATATTTTTTTAACCCATGACAATTAAGTTCATTTGAAAAATTGTTCAGGACTACTTGGCCAAGGTCCAATTTGTTGGTTTTGTAAAAGCCTCTTTCCCTGCAAATCAGTCTGCACAGGAAAGATCACCTTTCCGGGGGGTAATCAGGAAGCCCCAGGAGGTGCCGGTCCACGAGTCTGGGTTGTGAGCTTCCACCACCACAGGGCCTGACGTGGCAGCCCTCTCTCTGGCTCCATGTTAACGTGGGCTTGGGTGAGAAGTCTTTCTGGGGACAGCCTCAGTGTCTGTGGCAACAGGAGGGAGCCTGCCCTCTCCGGGGATGGGCTGTCCCAACAGACAGGCTGCCCCGGAGCCTGCGCTGACTTGCCTTGGGCGTCCTCTGGGAAGAAGGTCGTGAATGGTGAGGCGTCACCGTCCCTCCTATCTTGTGTCGTGCTGGGAAGCGAGTTTGTTCTTTGTGCGTCTGGTTCTGAGATGTAGTGGGACAGTGGGAGTGGACTAGGTAGGCTCACCACACCCTTCCCCTAATCCCTCGTGACAAAAGGTGATTCCCTGGGTCGCATGAAGGAGCGGGTGAGTTCCTGAGCCCTAGGGACTGTAGAGAGCAGAGGTGGAAAACCGGAGGCTCGACCTACCCCTCGATGGTGAAACTGCTGTGTGGGTACAGCCTAGGAAGTAAACAGACGTGAAAGCGTCCCTTCCTGTCTTTCTGGGGTCATCCTGGAGGGACTCCATCCCCCTCTGGCTTCTCTTCACAGGCCTTGGGCGTAATTTCCACAGACACGCCTAAGAAAACGTTCTCTGGGGTTAAAGGATCCTCCTCACATTTTACAACCTCTAATCTGATTGTTTAGTACCTGCTCTTTTAACTGTTTTTGTTAAAATGATGCATACCCAGACAAGACCAAAAAGTACAAGAATCATCTGAAATCCCACCATCCGTAAGTGACAGCTTTAACCCTCTGATGGCCATCCTCCATAAACACAGCGTGCTCGTATGATTAGACGTGACTGTGCTGCCCTGTGACCTGGTGTGTGGTGTGCACAGGAGTCCTTCTTACTCCGCAAGTGGACATGGTACTACCCACACCTAAAACAAGAAATGAATAATCCTGCTGTTCCTGGTGACAGTTTACATGCTTATAGCTCTTTGTAGTAAAAAGCAATTGTACCTCCTTGATCCCATGGAAACTTGGGGCCGGGAGGAGACCTCTGGGGCTTCCATCGCCCTTGCCTGTGTGCTCAGTTCTAATCACCCCTCATCATTAAGTTGTAAAGTGTAGTTCTTTACAGCTTAGAAAGCACCTTTACATTATTTTCATTGATCATCACAAAATGAGACGGTCATAAACGAGACGTAATCACAGTGCGATGATGGTGCATGTGGAGACTCACGACTCCATGTGTGCAAGGCACTAACAGTCACAGCGGCGTTTACTGAGAAGCCGCAGCGCCAGGCTCTGTGCAGGGGGCCTCACGTGGTCTCAGGATCCCCATCCTAGAGAGAGAATGCCTGAGGGTCAGAGAAGTCAAGTAGACCGATTGCGTGTCCACAGTGGACCCTGGCAGCATCCTGATCCAGACGTTTCCGACTTGAGCATCCCTTCGGGCAGCACTCGACAAAACTCGGACCTGTGTGTCGTCTCCACTTCATAGATGAGGAAACCAAGGCCAGAGGTGAATGACTTGCCTCAAGTCCCAGGGCCAGGATTCTAACCATTTGCTTCTAATCTGCTGCTTCCACTGCATGGGACCAGTCCCTTTCCTGTAACTAAAGGTGCTGGGTGGCAGAACTCTTCCCTCAAATCTCTGGAGAAGGGAGTTCTTGCTAAGATCTTTCAGGGAATTCCCTGGCAGTCCAGTGGTTAGGACCCCACAGTGGTTGGGGAACTAAGATCCTGCAAGCCGCGTGGCGTGGCCAAAGGAAAAAAAAAGAGATCTTTCAAAAATCCTTCCTGCTGCACTGAAACCTCTGTGCCTTCTTCAGAGGGAGCAAAGGTCAGCCTCTTGCACAGAGACCGAGCTTGCTGCCACACCCAGGCATGAGCCGAGGAGCTCAGAGCAGGCCCAGCCCATCCCTTCTTCGTGACTTTCTTGTGCTTTCAGCATAGGGCAGAGTTGTCTAACTCATCCACTCCTTTCAGAGAGGAGAGAGCGAGCGCGCATTCTTGAGGATATGAAACAAAGGATGATGAAACAAAATGGAATGAGATGCAGGGAAACTATTTAAATGCGGGGTGGGTGGAAGGCACATACAAGGAATGAAACAGCATCTTTTGGACATGTAGGCAAAGGATTGGCTTGTGAAGGCAATGAGGCAATCAAAGTTAATATTTTCCTCTTTAAAGACAGCAATTTTTATTTATAAAGCACTCCTTGCTGGCACGAGCTCAAAGCATTTACTGAGTGCTGGATAATTACCCCTCCCAACAAACAATCTGGCAGGTAGGAAAAGAGAGATAATTATCCCTATTTACAGGTGGGGAGACGGAGCCACAACCAAAACCAGCTTCCGAGACCTGAAACCAGAAGGTGAGCCTCCTCATGGCACCTTCCGCCCCTGCGTCCAGACGTCCTCCTGAGAAAGGACAGCCCACTTGCTGGCAGGGGCTCGTCAGGAACTACAGCTCCCAGCAGACACCGAGAGGGGACGCTGTGCCCCTAGTGCCCGTTCCAGATTCCCAAATATGGAGAAGGACTGGGTTGGGGAAGAGGAGCCGAATGTTCCCCCTTGAGAGAGGGAGAGAGGGGGAGGATGAGGTAAGTTTGGAATATTTAACTCTATCACCTAAACGTCTGCCTGGGCTTTGAAAAGCAGCAGCCACGGTCATGGCCTCAGTAAATCTTTCTAGAAGAGCTGACCTTGAAATCAGGCAGTTATCTCAGCAGAGCCCTGTTTTCTCCTAAGATTAGGTGTGTGCTGTTCTAAGAGGGCAGATACCCTTTCTCTGAGTCCGACCAGCTCAGAAAGTGATGTTGGCAGTGGCGGGAAAGGAATCCAAGTGGAGGACAGCTCTGCTGCCATGGGAGCGACATTCCAGGGGCTGGGCTGGCAGCCGAGCCCAGGATGAGCGGGGAGGACAAGGGTTACTCTTTTCCTGCTGTGGAGGCTGCTGAGCCCGCCTGGTAGGAAAGGACTCTTTCCCGGTCTGTCTTCATTGTGTCAACAAACATTTCTAAAAGCACATCCACTCGAGGTCCTGGGCTGGATGCTGGGCAGGATGCTGGGCAGGACACGCATCAGCAAGAACAGATCTCTGTCCTCAGGACGCTTTCTACAGGGGAGGACAGGCACACGAGGAAACGATGCGAGGCGGTGTGTTTTTTGTTTGTTTGTTTTTTATTTTTGGCTGTGTTGGGTCTTCGTTACTGTGCGCGGGCTTTCCCTAGTTGCAGCAAGCGAGGGCTACTCTTCGTTGCAGTACGCGGTCTTCTCATTGTGGTGGCTTGCTGTGGAGCACGGGCTCTAGGTGCGCGGACTTCAGTAGTTGTGGCACGTGGGCTCAGTAGTTGTGGCGCACGGGCTTAGTTGCTCCGCGGCATGTGGGATCTTCCTGGACCAGGGCTCGAACCCGTGTCCCCTGCATTGGCAGGTGGATTCTTAACCACTGCGCCATCAGGGAAGTCCCAGGTGACGTGTTATTCACACTGTTCATCTAGCGTTGTTACCCACCACCCACCATGTGCCAGCCGCTTGGAATCCGATGGGAAAGACGGAAAAAGCAAAGCTTCTGCTCTCGTAGATTTCCATTCTGGTAGTCCTGGATGTCGGGGGGGACGAGTCCTCCAAGCAGCGGGAACAGCAGGTTCAGGGCCTTGAGATGGACATGAACTTGGTGAGTCTGAGAGTGACCAGTGGGGCTGAGGGGCCGGATGAGGACAAGAGCAGGAAGAAAGAAGTAAGAGACCTGGGCCGGGTCGAGTCACGCCTTCAGAGCTGTCTAAGGATGAGATGCGTGCATTTCATTCCAATCCTAACAGAAGCCGTTGTTTCTGGGCAGTGGTTTGACATCTGAGGTACAGTGCCAGACTTCCAAAGGAGTTTCGAGTGGCAAGGAGAGGTGTCCCTGAGCTGAGTGGGCAGGGAAGGGGAGCAGAGTGGGGAGCCGAGCGTCACGGGGCAAACAGGAAGATCTCCAGGAGCCAGGATGGCACCTGGCGGGTTCCGATCAGCAATCTGCCGCAGCTGTGGTCGTGTGAGGGTAGCGGGTGGTGCGGCTGGAGGGGAGGAGATTTACAGTCTCCACGTCAGAAGGCTCTGGAGCACAGTAATGTGGACAGTATTCTCAGGCTTCCGAGTCCATTTGAGGACCTGGTCTCCTCCAGGCGCCGACATCTTCCCCTGAAAGACTTGATGCTATGAAGGCTTTCGAGTCCCACGTTGAAATTGAGGTGACTCCGAAGAGCACCGTTTACATTGTGAAAGGCGCCCCATCGAATGACACAAGCCGCAGGCGGAAGGTACCCTCGGGGCCGTGCACAGCGGAGGTGCTGGTCCGTGTTCTGGGGGACGGAGCGCCGAGTAGCCGCCAGGTGACTCGCAGTGCTTAGCGGCTTCCTTCACCACTAAGACGGAAGCCCCGCGAGCCGGCTGCAGAGCAGCAAGGGGAACGGGGTGCAGAGAACCGTGAGACAGGCGGAGGGTAGGATGGAAAAGAGAGGGATTGAAAGAGGAGGCTGGGGAGAGGCACTAAGAGGAGAGTAAAGGGTGGTGGGTGGTGGCTGGGCTCTCGGGAGCGCTGCCCCGGGTCTAGAATCCCTCTCCTCCTGTGGTTGTCTCGGTGCCACTGTTCTGTGGGCCTCAGGACGGCGGCTGGCTGCCCAGCCGAGCCACACTCTTCTCCGGGGTCTGTCTCATTAAGACCCCGCCCCTGAGACAGTCAGCCTGACCGCCAGCTCCTGGACAGCGGGACAAGCTGTACACCTACCTTAAGCGCCTCACCTCGTCCTAAGTGTTCCCTTTCTACCTGAATTTGGGGGAACCATGGTGCTGTCCCAATAGGTCAAAGCAGAATAAACTCAAAGCGAAGGACATGCCCGGCCATGCCCTCTTCTTCCCCAACCTCAGCAGGCAAGCGGAAGGGCACTTGCCTGAGCAGGGGGCGGCAGGCTGCTGTGCGTGCGGCGGCTCCCTGGGGGCGGAGGGCGGGGGGGGGGGGGGGGGCGGTCATTTCAGGTTCCCGGCAATAGGAAGTGGTGGTCACACCAAGGCTCCGCCACCCACCATGTGCCAGCCACTTGGAATCCGATGGGAAAGACAGAAATTTGACAGCAAAGCCGTCAGACACGGGAGGCCCAGCAGAGCCCACCGCGAGCCCAGACTCCAGCAGCGTCTCCTCCCCAGCCTCTCACGGGCCTCCAGCCCCCTGGTCGCCGCACGTGAGCAGGGCTGCCCCTTACTTCCGGCTGCACGCCCACTCAGGAACAGGGGAGCAGCCGGACCTCAGCGTGGCGGTCTCCATGTGCGTGTGCGGCAGGAAGCCTCGCCCCCCTAAGCTGCCCTGCGCCGCACCACGGGTCCGCTGCTCCCGAACCCGGGCTCTAGTACGGGCTGCATACTTGGCGGGGGCTGAGGCCCCCGGCGCACTGGGCCCCCATCACCTCTGCAGGCAGTGGCCCGCATCACCTCCGGGACCTTCCCCGCCTGCCTTCCCAGCCCTGCTCTCACGCCCAGCTCCAGGCCGCTCTCCTGACCCACCCTGCTCTCCCCAGACCTGGGCCTCTGAGCAGCTTACTCCCTCCTCTTGGGGGCCCCTTCTGGCTTCCTAGACAGGCTCACCCCCAGAGTTCAGCACAGTTATCACCTCCTCTGGGAAGCTTCTCCTTGACCCCCCTTCTCAGGTAGATTCAGTGCCTCCCTGCCTGTGTTCTTGTAGGGCCTGTACTTGCCTGTATTGTAGCGGATGAGCCATCTGTTCACTTCAGGGAAGCCCCCTGTGAACAGCTAACTCCTTTAGGGTAGAGAGCTGTGTATTTTACTTTTGTATTTCCAACTCCGAACCCAGTGAGGTGGTCGTGAATGTTTGTTGAATGAGTGAGTAGCCAGGATCCCTTGGCCTAATGAGTACCAAGGTCTCCTCCAGTGAGGTCCGATAAAGAAGTAAGGCAGGACCTGGGTTTTCTGGGCCAAGTAACACTTCCCCTCCTGGAACCCTGGCTTCGCCGGCGCTCTCAGGGCCCCCTCTGCCTTCCCCGCTCCCACCCAGTCGTCACCCCCGCGTCGTGCCACCCTCTGCCCTGAGGTTCCCCTTCAGGACTTGTTTGGCCACGAAAATACTAGTGCCTTTCCACATTACCAAGAAGAGGGCACCTGTGTCCATGGTTGTCAGCTTTCCTTTCCCCCTCCTCCTAGATCAGGAGCATGTTGGCTGCTGGCACCTGTCCCAGACTGTGTCAGATGGGGCCCTGTCCCCATCCATCCCAGCTCCCCACTGAAGCAGGGAGGGGCTACGAAACCTCAGCAACGGCCTAGAGGTGAGAAGTGAACTCAGTATGAAAAATAAGATTTGTGCAAGCAAAGCACAGAGGTTGAGATGATCAGCATTTAAGGGGAGGGGAGGCCTGGTGGGACATGGCTGGTCCTGTTCCGGAGAGCTCTTGCAGGCAGGTTGGGGAGCTGGGCTGGAAGGTCAAGGAAGTTAGGTGTCCACAGCGAGCGCTCCTGACGTGCTCAAGGTTTTAATAGATTTCCACCGCGGGGTGTCTGCTTGCGGTCAGGGTTGGGGGTGAGTGCGAGACCCCGGGAAGCCCTTCCTGCTCTGGAATTCCATGCTCAGGGCTGGCTGTGGACTTCCGGGGACCCGAGTTCCATTCATTGGAGCTATTTTTGGTCTGCAGTAAGTTAGCCAGGCCGCAGGGCTGGGAAAGCGCTACCGCTGAAGGAGGTGATTCACTGGGACAGGATGCCCTGAGGCCACGTTGTGAGCCCCTGGGATCCCAGAACAAGGGTCTCTCGTGTTTGGGACGCCCTGGGTTCAGGGGGTAATCTCTGCAGGGCCTTCAGCAGAGAGGGGGCGGCGGCAGAGGCTTTTGAACTCCTTCTCCCATACCTGATGTCAGCCCATGAGCCAGGTTTAACTGCACAAACTATCCCGCTGGGTGCTTATTAGTATCCCATTCGACTGAGGCTCAGAAAGTTTAAGAGACTTGCCCGAGTTTACCAGGTAGCAAATGCCAGAGCCAAAATTCTAACCCATAAATCTGACAGCAAAGCAACGGCACCACAGCACTCCATGCTTGAGAGCCCCTCCCAGAGGGACGGAGCCAGTGTGTCCCGGGGAGGGAGGGGGATGCATGGGAGAGGACTGAGCTCTCGGTGCCCAACGGGCACGCTGCGGCATCCTGCATTGTCCTTTCCTCCAACCCTTTCATTCCAGCAGGGCCAGCGCTCAAAGGCTCTGCAGGAGAAGAGTTTGGACCTGAAGAGCTGTCCTGAGGTGGTGGACAGAGCCCTCGTCTGGGCAGGAGTGTCCAGGTTCTTTTTCTGGTTAATGCAGGACAAGCTACTTACCCTCTGATCCTCAGTTCCTTTATCAAGGAAAGGCAGTGGGATGGGATAGAGGAATTAGGATGAGTAAATGCCCACTGTACTGACCTCACTAAGTTACAAAGACAAAACGGAACCCTGAATAAATAAGTCACCAAATATAGTCATGTTATAAAAATCCTAAGTTCTTATCTAGTTGACTCTCCAGCTCAAAATGTTTTGTAGATGTATTTTGGTGCTCAAATGGCTCAGCCCAAGTCGTGAGGCGTCCTAGGGTTCTCTGTGAGTCTCTCTGGCCAAATCACCCAAGGTCATCATCAAACCCTTGACTGGTTCCACTCTTGAGCAGCTGTTTACTTCTGACACGAACAGCCTCAATTCCACTTTCTGAAAAGTCCAAGAGCCCGGCTCTTTCTCCCCACTGGAACTTTGCAGAGTCCACGTTCATAACTCGGAGTCCTTGGTCTGGTCACCCCCTTCAGTCCACGTCCAAAAGAGGCCACGGCTTGTCCACATTGTATCTTCACAGCTAACTCAGCGCACGGCACACAGCGGTGCTCGGCGAACTTTGATGCATACGTGAACTTTCCTCTGATTTCTCCCCCCATCCCCACTGATGTTTTCATTGCCATGGAGATGGGGATACTTCTGACCTCATCCTTTGGGAATACCACAGAGATTAGCTAATTAATAAGGCGGGGAGGGCGAAGCTCTTCTGGCACTTAGCGTTTAACCGAAATGGCTGGGAGACAGTGGTGAAACCCCAGGGCCTTCTCAGAGCATCGTGAAGACACACAGTGGGAGCCCTGACCCTTGATGTTCGTTGCTCTGGGACCCTCCTCTCTTCTCTTGGCAGGCGTTGCCCCAGCGTCCATCCTGGAGGCTGACCCCCCTACCAACTCCCCTGCACAGTGCCCCTCCCTCAGGGGATTCTTCCTGCAGCTGTGCAACAGCTGGAGCCTTTGGAAGCCCCACAGGGTCCAGAGGCCACAGTCACCTGCTGCCGAAGTCACCCCCCCGCACCCCCCACTTTCCCGTTTCCCAGATCAGGTGGGCGGGAGTGGGGGGCACGGGTCCAAGGGTATGAGGAAGGGCAGTTTACTTGGCTTTCCCCTGTGATAGAAAAGTGGATTGGAATGGCCACTGGCAGTGAATAAACCAGAGCAAAAGACCCATGCCAGCTGGTGACCACTGGAAAAAAGCAGCAAATTCATGAATTACCCTATTTACACCAGAAATAAACTAATAGTTTGGACCTTTGCTTGATAGATTGTGCTGGAATTATAGGCTGTTCATGAAGACACATGGGTGAAGCTGGTTTCCACCCCTCCTTACTCATTGATGGCTTTGGCACCAAACCCTAATGTTCCACTCCACCAAGCCTTGCTGGCATCCTGGGTAATCAGTGTCAGACAGACCAACTGTTTACAAACTGGGAATCGCAACCCATTAGTGTGTCAGGAAACTGATTTGGAGGATTGTGACTAGATTCTTTTTTTTGTTTTTTAAGAAACAGTATAGAAATAAAATATCAGAGTACTTCACATATAGGAAGGGTAGTTTGGGGGTAAAATCTTTATTTCAAAGACATGTATGTTATTATATGATAACATATACTAATAACATATTATTTCAGTAACATAATACATGTGTACTAGGTCATGACATCAAATACACTTTTTATTATGGACCCTAGTCAAAAGTTTAAAAGGGATAAGAGTATGTATAAAGGAATACTATTCAGCCTTAAAAGGAAAGGAAAGTCTGACACAGGCTACACTGTGGATGAACCTCGAGGACATTGTGCTCAGGGAAATAAGCGAGTGACGAAAGGACAGACACTGTGAGACTCCATTTATAAGAGGAGCTTAAATAGTCACATTCATAGAGACAGAATGTACAGAGGTGGTTGCCAGGGTCCAGATGGGGGGCAGGGAGTGGGGAGTTCGTGTTCAGTGGGAACAGAGTTTCAGTTTTTTGTTTTTTGTTTTGTTTTATTATTTATTTATTTGGCTGTGCCGGGTCTTAGTTGCAGCAGGCGGGATCTTAGTTCCCTGACCAGAGTTCGAAGCTGGACCCCCTGCATTGGGAGCGCAGAGCCTTAGCCACTGGACCACCAGGGAAGCCCCCAGAGTTTCACTTTTGACGATGACGCATCCCATGGACGCCAGACGCCAGCCGTGGTGGTAGCACAACACGGGAATGTGCTGGCACGCGATACACTCATTGCTCTCAGTACACTTCCAGTGATCGTGAGGGTAGATTTTATGTTTTGTGTGTTTAACCACAGTTTTTTAAGAAGCTGCAGGGGAAGCCTCCTGGGTCCTCGCTGTCAGTGACGTCACCCCCACTCACTCCCAGCTCCCTTTCTCCAGGGCCGTCCCCAGGAACCGTTCACCGCCCACCCGCTGACCTCGGCCTCCTGCCTTTCCTGCTTCCTCCCCTTCTGAAACCCGCTGTGCCCGCGCCCCCAGCTCACAGCATCATGTAAGCCCCTGGTCACCCAGCTCTTCTGGTCGGGCCACCTTCACTCCTTCCCGGTCTTCGTGAGGGCCCTGCCCTCCACTCATCCCCCGGAACTGCACCAAGAGTGAGGTGTCTGCATTTCAGTCTGATCTTCACGCTTCCCCACTTGAACCCCCAATGGCTCTCTGTTGCTCTGAGGGAAGCCGTTAGCCGGGCAGAGAAGCCAGCTGGACGTCGCTCCCAGCTAACCTGCACACCGCCTGCCCATCCTCCTTTAACTGTACTTGCAGTTCCCCGAGTTCGCCCAGCTTTCCTTTGCTTCTGAGTCTTGGCCTGGGGTCTTCCCCACCTCACTTGTTCTGTACACGCCCAAGTCCTATCACCCGAGCCTGGGTTGGTACCCAGCCCCTCTGAGAAGTTTCCCTCTGCCCTCGTAAGGCCAGATCTGGGGCCCTTGAGTGAGTGAGGTCCTGAGCACTTGTGCCTCGTCGGATCAGAGCACTTATCGTGCGGCACAGCAGTTCCCTGTGTGAGTCTCCTCTCCTGACTGTCCTCTGTGCCCTCCTGAGGCCGGCGCTGCACCCGATCCCTCACTGCGTCCCTGGGCCTGCCACGCTGACTGCCCCACGGTGGACACTCTCTGAGGGGTGAGTGGGTAGGCACAGGAGGATGTTCGAATGTATGGATTTTCACAGGTTTTGAAATTCAAATCTGGGAATCAGTTTTGGTTAACACTTTCAGCTGGAAATACCTTTGATCAAGGTCTAAAGAACGATTTATCCAAATTAGTAACAGTTGCTATATTTGTGTAACATTGAACATCCTATAGAACACTGTCATTTCTTTTTCTTATTTGACACACTTAATAACAAGTAAGAAGGAAGGCCTTTGTCATCACATATGGCACGTGAGGAAGCTGTGTGCAAGGTCAGCAGGTTAGTCAATGGCAAAGGCAGGACAAGGGCTCACATCCCTCCCACTCACTTTACCATGATCCCTTTAACTTTCAGAAATGAAAAGAATCAGAGTAATTAGTCCTAAAATCAGGACGTTTCAGAGAACAGGGAGTATATATTTTCTGGCCTTTATAGGGTCCTACTAAGGTCCCAGTTCACAGGTACTTAGTAAATATGAACTAGCTCCACTCTGGCAAAACCATCCCTGCTGTGCCTTGCTTCTTCTACATTTTCCAGAAAAAGAAACAAAACCAAGCCCCCTAAGGACTGATGTCCAACAACGTACTGGGATTTTTTCCTTGTATTCACTCTACATCTCTGTGTTGCAAAATCAAGCCCAGTTTCTTTTATTTGATTCTCAGCAGTGAGAATATTATTTATACCCCATCTGCATCCAAAAAGTTAGAAAAAAGAAAAGAGTTTATCACTCGTCCCCATAAAATAACCTCTTCCTCTGCCCTTCCTAGTCCAAGGTAAACAGTTCTAACTGCATTTTGCAAAGGATCTATTTTCCTGTCACTTTATTTTTTTCTTATACGGACCCTACCAATTGTTCCCAGTCTCTTTTTTACTTTTAAAGCCAACACTGGACATCGGTCACTAGTAAGATCTGGTTAAAGCCAAGAATAGTGAGAGGATGACTTCAAGGACATTGGGCCACTTTAGAGCATCTCAGGCACACAAATCCAGCTGCTGTGCGCACAGGACAAGTGCAGAAAGATCAACCAAGGCGGCAGAAAGCCCTCCCTCCTCCTGCACAGGCACCACGGCCGCTCTCCCCTCTGTCTAGGTCAGTTAAGTACTGATAACTGTCTTTTGCAAAGTAAAAGTGACCAAAGCCTGAAGCTCTGATTTCAGGGATATTGAGAAGGTCCTGGTCTATGTAATCACAAGTCCTGGAGTTTTCAGAATTATCCTGACTTCAAAAAAAAACATTAAATGACCCTAGAAGTTGCAGCATTTCTATTTCTGAATTATACCTAAGAAGAAGCTTCTTACATCTAAAATCAATTATAAAAAAGATCTTTTGGTGGACAATGTGTCCGAATTTTTTATGTAAAAAGATAGTCAATAAATCCAAGTTTCTCACAAAGCAGCATCCTCCTGCTTGCCCCAGCCTACAATTCCACGACTAGAGCTTCATTCCTTTTTACTGTAAGGCGTTGTCAGGGCTATTAGTGGGCAAATATCCCCATGAGAGATGCTATTTTATAAACTTTTATCAGACATAACTTAGAGGGAATGTGTCTTAGATTCTTTGCTGAAAGCAAAGTTTTGATCAGGAGAGAGGAAGGCAAGAGCTAAGATTAAGGTGATGTTGTTCAACCATTTTGTTATTATCACATCTTAAAGAGTGTTTTTTAGTATCTTTTTTCTGAATGACAGTCCCCCAAAGAAATTTTAATACCATAGATACACTGTATATCTGTTTGTGTGTGGTGTGAATATCAGTGCTTTATACATAAAAATACTAAGGTGTTTTTCAGACCCTAACCTGAGAACCAGTCCCCCTGCTTGGGGGCAACAGCGCCCGTGAGCATGCGTCTGGAGAAGCCACCACCCACAAGGGAAACGCGAGTTTGGCTAAGAAGTTGCGGCACCTGAGCCAAGCTCCTTGGGCAGAGCTGCTTGGCCGGTCCGACCATGCTGCCCCCTGCATCCCAGACTGCAGGGCCAGGATTCAGCCCGCACAGCCTCCTGGGCTCTCAGGGTCTCGTTCTCCCAGCCCTGACGGGACCCA